TAGTGGTTCTGCACGCTGGACCGGTAATCCAGAGGTCCGTGTTTCGATTCCCGGCAACGGCGATTGCTAATTTTTCATCTTGCCTGCTTTCAAAAATTCCTAATGTCTTTGCAGTGGCGCCGTAGTAGGTTCTGTAATTGAATATAAGTAATTGATCACTATACTAGCTGCAATCGTAATTTGACCTCATACTGCTTTCCAGTGATTTCGAGAAGCAGAAATTATATCTCGGCAACCGGTGTAAAACTATAGAAGCTTACAGACCGCATCTTAGTGTTGTTGCAAATTGTTAGTCCAGCGTGAAACTGAGATATTTCCGGATTAACTCTCTCTTTAGGTGCGCTTTATACTGCATTGTTTTAACGATTTTATTAGTTTGAAGCATAATTAGTGATTGCACTTTGTGATACTATGAACACCTGTGCGAGTATTACTGTGGAAAATTCAAGAACTTTAAAGTGTTTCATTTAATAAAAATAAATTTTACTAACCTATCATCGGATCTGTGCATTCAGTCTATTGCAAACCCGTATTCCCACAACACTATCTTTTGTAGCAGGTAGATGTTACTAATAAACAATTTAACTAACTTGGATAAAATGATTAAGATTAGAATAGTAGACTGAAAATTAAAACAAATCCTCACTCTTTCACTTGGCAACAGCTCATTAGTGCTGTTTGAGTAAAATACAGTTTAGATTAAATCGCTGAAGCTTCAACTGTCTTTATAGTGAAAATAACGTAGTACATTTTTATTGATACGTCTTTCACCACAAAATATATACATACATATATATATATATATATATATATATATATCGCTGAAAATCCATGTAGAAAATGAACAGCTGTTAGGCAAATCAGATATCAAAGAAAGTAATCTTTAAATTTCCGAAATTATTCCATATCTCCTCTTTCGCACGTTTTGGATTTTATTATTTTCTTTTCGATTTACCAAGGCAAAACACAAGAAATTCTCTCCATTATGGTGCCCAAACTAATATAAACATTTTCAACTAACCAGGTAAAACAAAAGAATAGTCCAATAGAATTTGGTTGTTTAAACTCCGTTTATGTAAAATACTGCTTAAAGAAAAACCATTCAGCTAATAAGCGAATGTTTTCTGAAGTTTAAATCCAACATTTCTTAAATGGATTTAATTATTTAAAAATGAAATTATTTTCACAGTATGTGAAACACAGGTTTGTAAACAAACACAGAAAAATTATTAACTTTTCGTGGTGCACTATGAAATTGCGATTATTTAAGCAAGTTTAAGTTTAGAGTGGCTTTCTCAATGATCCAGCAAATAATGAATTGTCTGCGATGGCTTTCATTGTTCAAGGCCTGGGTGATGAAAAATCCAAACATTTATGTGCATCAAGCCTGTTCTTTTTATTCTAGCAAGGTTTTCTCATGTTTCAAAGAGTAATCTTTTATTTCTTAGCGAGCTGAAATAATGTTTGTTAAAACATGTTTAGATGTACAGGATTAACCTTTAATTTGATTGGTAGGAGCTCCGACAGGCTATCGTGCTTTAGTTAATAACGGTTTCATTTACCTAGAGAAGTATCTAGCATATCTCGGTGCCTTTATCATAGTCGGTGAATATATGATAAATTTTTCCTGTCAAGATATAACTCGTTTCTTTTTTGGTGTGTGTGTGAAATAAACTGATTATCAATCTGAAACTTTCTTGATTATATTTTAAACTCCTTATACCTAAGTATATTAGTTACATATACATGTTTTAATCGTCTCATTAGATAGTAAAATAATAATAATCCTATTAAATAAAGTTTAAAACACACTTTCAGAGAAAACTCTTTTTTTTTTTTCAATTGATTAACCAAAATTAGTACATTTAATATATAGAGGGGGGTCAAAAATATGTATATACCTCTAGCGGCCTATCCGCACAACCAAGTGAAATGGAATTTCCGAAATTGTTATTTTAAGATATGTGTTCGAGACTGTGACGATTTAAAATAATGTACCTCTACGGTTATAGTTGCAGTAAAAAAAATTTAGATGTTTACCAAAGGCGATACCCACGTATTTCCTGCGCAAAGGGATCACCGCACTGTAGAACCATAAATGGCGTTGGAACGATATACGTATGAATAAAACTGCCGTGCTCATAAAACATTTGTAAAGACGAGCATTGTAAACTACAATTTACTAGGGAGAAGAGGGTCGAAGTTCCAAGTTTTAATCGTGCCCACCTATGCAGATGATAGCTCATTGCATCGGGAGATTGTTGTCAACAATGACAAACGTAACATCGCGGGAGGTATCTCTACAACTTCACATTTTATGCCATCTTTAATTGCGACAAATCTCCGGGGTTTGATGTGCACACCTTAGATTTTAGGTAACTCCAGAAGAAGAAGTCTGTCGGGCTTAGGAGGATCGTGGTGGCACCGAAATTGTAATGTTACAGCACATGACGCTATCTTGAAATAATGCACACGTTCAAAATTTGCAATTCCAATAAAACCTGTATTCCTCTCTCCTCTGTTATGTGGTCATCGGTTTCTTATTGATGCTCTTATTTACAAATATTTTAGGCTTGCAGGTTTTGTCATTTACGGCTTTTCAAGGAGTTGATCAATTTACGCAACACGAAAGCGGGCGTCGCCACTCTAAAATTCCGAAATGTTTTCACTGCAACTGTAACCGCGAGAGCTCTGTTGTTTTTCAAATCATCACAATCTCCATAGCTTACCTTCAAATAACAATATTTGAAACTTCATTTCGGTTGGTTGAGTGTATAGGACGCTAGAGGTTTATATATATATAGGGGATGATATAAGATAATATCTAATATCTAATAGGAGTTTTACAGCATGGGGTGATACGTGGTCTTACGTTACTCAGCTAGGTATAGTGATAAGTCTAAAAATGAGTGCATTTAACATGTGTTTGATGATCTGCATTTAAATTTCAACTGATCACCGTTTAAACGTCTTTCTAGGTACAGTTAATAAAACGACACGTTAAGAAGAAAGACGAAATTATTGTTTTTGGTTTTATACAGGAATACCCAGTCTCACCCCTAATGTTTCTACATTTGACATTCCTGTTAAATTATGTTGAATATCAGTGCTGTGTTTTAATGACAGTCCATACATTTTAGAAGAAAAAGCATAAGCGGTGAGGAAAACTAGTGTTCGAATTTTATATTGTTATGAAATAATAAGAAGGCAAGTCTTCCTTCGACAAACGAATGGTTACCAGATTTCCTTACGTGTTCTGTTCCCTCAAACGATCGTCCTTTACACCTCCGAGAGGCCGAGCAATAAAGTCTTTGAGCGATAGTAGTTCGGCCCGGTTTTAAAAATTCCGTATACGTGATCACTGTATGAGTGTTTTCGTGGTTTTCCCCATGTGCAACGTATATATGAGCGAGCTTCCCTGAGAGAGTCCTTCATGAAAGCATGACTTCTCTCAAACAGATAGCCCTCGAGTGTTTTGATGTTATTTTTATAAAAAAATAAGCGAAATGAATACTTTCTAACAGCTAAATTGTTAATACCGTTACTCTTGTAGTTTTCACTTCGAGAAATATTTTTAGTCTGAATCTCTAAAGAAAGGAAAGTTAAGAAGAATTTTAAATAGAATGCATGTTTCACCTTTAAAGGATTTTATACATCATTTCTAATATATCTGAATTTTTCAAGTGTAATTTTTTTACAATGTAAGATTTTCAATTAAAGCCAGAAATATAAGATTTATTGGAAACGTTTTAGTAAGCAGAATAAAATATATAAAGAATTACGGTACTTTTACGTGTGTTTTCACAAAGATTTTTAAAAAAACTTCCCCTTTGTATTTGATATTTAAACAAATTGCCTGCCTCACTTCAAACATCAATTATCACTCCCAATAAACCTGAACACAAAAAGAGCCCAAAGATATAGGGTGGTATGTGGATAAGGAATTCAAACTATTCGTCTGCCTTCCTGAACTTTTACTTCTCTTTCCATAAATACGACATTTAAAACGTTAAAATTACCTGTTTCATTATTGCAGTTTTTCTTTAAATTTATTTATATTTATCACCTTATTATTTCTCTTTTTTTTTTAGGATTTGCAGCATGGAGTTCTGTTCCCTCAAACGATCGTCCTTTACACCTCCGAGAGGCCGAGCAATAAAGTCTTTGAGCGTTAGTAGTTCGGCCCGGATTTCAAATCTCCGTAAATGTGATCACTGTATGAGTGTTTTCGTGGTTTTCCCCATGTGCAACGTATATATGAGCGAGCTTCCCTGAGAGAGTCCTTCATGAAAGCACGACTTCTCTTAAACAGATAGCCCTCGAGTGTTTTGATGTTATTTTTATAAAAAAAAATAAGCCAAATGAATGCTTTCTAACAGCTAATTGTTAATACCGTTACTCTTGTAGTTTTCACTTCTAGAAATATTTTTAGTTTGAATCTGGTAAGAAAGGAAAGTTAAGAAGAATTTTAAATAGAATGCATGTTTCACCTTAAAGGATTTTATACATGATTTCTAATATATCTGAATTTTTCAAGTTTAATTTTCTTACAATGTAAGATTTTCAATTAAAGCCAGAATATAAGATTTATTATTAATTGTAATAAATCTTATATTTTGGTAATTTAATTGTAATAAATCTTATATATCTAATATATATATATATTATTACCAAATATGCTCCTTCTTCAAGAATAAAAATGCTTCTATAGAGATACAAAATAACTCCTAAAAGCTTTGCAAATTGTTGTTATTCAATTTCATACTTTCCAAAATATGCAATAATAAAGCATCTATAAAATTTCACATGAAAATTTTCATTTAATTTTTTTACTTACTATCCACAAACGCGGCCGGTAGCCTAAAATTGTGTCATTTTCTGAGTTCCTCTAGTAATCAGTAATAACGGCGATAAAGAACTGCGTTTATTGCTTTTAAATTTCTTGGTTTGTCAATCAGAAACACACAGATAAAATGTGAAAGAAAAGTTAAATATCTTACTCTTTGCTGAACGACAATGTAGTAGAGCGTGAAATATAAAAATATTTTAATTCCGACAGCGGCAACACACTTATATTAAATCCCAGTGTTTGTTGGTGAAATTCAAAAGAAAAATTAATATATTGCGTGGCGTTATGTTTTTATATCGCACTGTTTTCTGATTAAATTTGAAACATAAAATTCTTACATTAACGATAGTACTATCCGAGATCTAGTTTAACTATTGCAGAATTATTATACTCACTTGAAATACCTGTTCGTAGATATTTGTTTATGGAAACGACTTCTATATTTGAGGTCAATTTCACGTGAGAATACTGGAAGTACTAGAAAGCATATCATCTGCAATGAACGTAATTCTATCGTTCTTACTAGTGAGATTTTGGAAATAGCGCCATGAAATAAGAATATTGAGAAAAAAGCAGCTGAACGGAAATGAAAGCTTAAGGACAAAATCTGATTTTTAAATTTCTCTGAAATGCGAAACGTGTACATGTTAATCTTTTGATTACAAGAAAAGATATTCTGTTTTCGAGTATTTCGAGAACCTAAAAACTGCAGTAAACATGAACGTAACGACGGCTCTTTCACTGCAATTACCTTTCTCATTATTGAAAAAAAAATCTTTCCTCGAAGTGTGCTTTATAATTTACATGACCCCAAATAAGAAAATAAAAAAAGAAAATGATTTTTTAAGTGATGATGATTTTTGTCAGGGCTAGATTACTTAATTACCAGTATACTCCCCTTTTCTTTCCTGCATTTAAGTCAGCAAAGACGAGTAAAAACTAAGGACTCAGCTATGGTTTGGAATAAAACACCAGTTCGCCTTAATTAAGCTTGGCGTTTTCGGGATTAGTTTGTAGAGGCATATTTTTTTCCAGGAGGAAAAGGAAAAAATTAATTATGCGGGATTCAAACGACGAATTATCAAATGCTAGATAGACATGCTACTGGTTACATTACAACAATATTTATAAGGTAATATAATAATTATTTACATTACAACAGTATTTATAAGGTAATACAATAATTATTTTCATTACAACAATATTTATAAGGTAATACAATAATTCTTTATCTCACCGGTCTTTGTATTAGCGCCAAATGGCACCAATAATGTTTACCTATATGGAAAAGGAATATGCTATGTAAAATGCAGAACTAACGAAAAGAACTCTAGATTGGAGGGTAATACGTATGAAATTGTATTTATTGTTTGTTTCTGACTAGCAGCCACATAGAACAGTAGTTTAAACATTCAAAGAAAGCTTACTCTAACAATGGAGTATGATTTATTGAAACAAAAGAAAATAAGTTATTCCAAAAAAGTGCAAAATGAATAAAGAATCCTTCTTATAATACATGTTTTTAATCTTTTTAAAATTATGCACATGTATGGACACCTTAAAATATAACATTAAATACATACATTTATACTGGAAACTTCCTAAGAGAAATTCGGCAATATTTATAAAAGATTAATGCATGCTAAAGATTTATCCTCCTCTCCTATTAATTTCTACCGATTTTCTACGTTATTAATTTTTTTATATAAATACACATACTCTAGCTGACTCATGTAGTTTTTAAAATTAATTGGCTAGGAATTACCAGGTAAAAATTACCTATTTAATTAAAATTTGCGTGTTCTTATTTTCATATTAGCAAAATTATTTTTCATTGGCTTATTTTCTTATGTATTAATTGTAGACAGAATGGAATACAGCAGATCCGCAATAAAAATTATTCACAAAAATGCTTGAAATTTTATAAAAATCATTTTTACTGGGAGGCTTGAGGGGTGCATGAGGGGAATGAGTTGCATGAATAATAAAATATAATAATTTTTATCTAGCCAAACTTCTAATTAATGACATATTCATTGTACTTTAATTAGTTAAATATAAAGTTCATTAAGTGCAAATATAAGTTTTAATTACAATATTACGGGTAACTCAATTATTAATTCATTTCACAGACTTGGAACAGAATTTATTGGTTTCGAAGGCATTCCTCTACCTTTTCTAACCACTTTTGGCAGAATAAAACAAACATCTGAAATCACTTACATTATAAGGCCAGGAACACCAACCAGGTAGACCTCAAGTTGTTCTTTTCAAAACTGGGAAACAATTCCTCCTTTTCCCAATGAATTCTTCATCAGGGATGAGATTGAACACATAAAGGCTGTGTAAGGCTGGGGGTCCCCATGCTTGTACATACTTTTCATATACCTATTACGCCACTGACATCAACCTCAATACCTTCTCTTACTTTTCCAAAGAAAGGGAACTGAGTATGAATGTATTCCAGACCAGAAGAAGGAACAGCAATTCTGACAGGCTAAGTAAGCAAAAGAAAAGTGGCATTAGCAAAGATGTCGGGATTCTTGGTGAATGATAATTTTAAACTCATGAATTTAAAGCAGAAATGTACTGTTTTTGTCAGAAATTATACTAAGTTTTATTAACTTTTACTGCTTGCCATATAATGTCCTAGTTTACATTCATTCACCTTCCATACCTCCCACAAAATCTCGATGCAGTTTTTGAGGGACATTGTCCATATTCGTAGTAAATATACGTAAAAATATCTAATAGGCATATATCTTGCAGGGCCCTTTTCAAAATTGGACCCCACAACTGCGGGTGTTCCTGAGCCTCTAAACAGGCTTTGTCATTAGCATATCCTATTCTCTGATGGCGAAAGCGTCAAAACTGGAGATAGGCCTAAAAACTAAAGAATATCTTCTAGAATCAATGAAATTTAACCGAGATAACCGAAGTTTGTTTGCCACGGGTGTACGATAGTTATCCTTTGAACGATTACTTTAAGCCACGACCAGAAAAGGCTTGAAGTGGCAACTGCAAACTTTTGTCTATCAACGTGTATGACAGGCATCAAAATGTTTTTCTGGAATGGCTTAAGGAAAAACTCACTGAGAAATTAATAACAAAATAAATCTGGCTACAAGTTTAGTAGTTTTCTCGAAGAGATTGGCATCACTATTTATATTTAGATTTTATTTTGTTATAAAAGAATTAGAACGCAATAAAATTTTAAGGGGAAAGTAGATTGGTAATCTATCCATTATCAACATTGTTGTGATGTATGGACGTGATGCTTAAAGACAGAAGACAGTGAATTAGCTAATATTGAATTTATTGGTTTAAAATATTATTAATTAAGGAAAATATTATTAAAAGAAGAACACCTGTTAGAGCAACGTTCACGAAGCGCTACAATTCGTTAAATAGCGTCTTCAAATGAGCCAGGTTTAAAACGTGAAGAAATTGGAATGAAAGTTTGTTCTTTAGAGCGAATTGCTTCAGATTTGGGCTGAATTAGATAATGAAAAAAAAAAAAAATGTGGAATTGTTACCACCACAATCCGACGTTATAAACGCCGCATCAATCCATTTTTTTTCTCCCATTAACATTTTCGCGCCGACTCTCAGGCATACATTCCAAAATACAAAAAAGTACTAATTTCCTGGCCGGCACTCTGGCGTGCCAGATCCTTTTCTCGTTCACCCCCGGCTGTCACATGTTTGTGCCAGTGTCCTGGAACATTTTGAAGACCACTAGATGGCGTCCTGTGTCCATTACTTTTGAACTGAATATTGTTTTAGGATTGTGACTATCATCACATTCTGCGTAAAATTGGGGCCAGCTGTTGCGGAAGTGAGCGTAATATGAACAGAAAGAGCTCATCTCCTTAACTCGTAATATAAACATTCGCTTCTCTATATCCCTCCAAAGCCTTTTTTTTTTTTTTTTTTTATTATTATTGTTCCTTTTTTTGCTACTATGTAGTGTATTTTAGGGTTAAGATGTGAGATTCCATTACTCTTTGCATTGTTTTTATTTCGGAAAGCTTTGACTGCAGTTTATCATAACGAGCAGGCGTTATTTATCAGACGAATGGTAAATAAGCCAATTAGTGATGTGAATGAGAGTGACGATTTATTTTTTAAAGAGAGTAATTTTTCTAGTGATTCTCATATGGAGATTTTGTCACAGACTGAGCTCATTGAGTATTTGCCTCCCAAATATCTGACATGAAATATTTTGTTACTTCCTCTTAGAAACTGACTTTCTTGTATTTTTTTATTAAAGTTTATTAATGTATTTTATGAATTAAAACTTAGAAATAATTTAAATAGCGCTTCCAAAAATTATTTCTCAATGTAAGCTTTTTTTATATATACATTTTCATGTTAAACAAAGAAAAAGATTATTAACGTTAATTTTAACATTTATGATAGCTTAAGTAATAATCTAAAAATAGTACAAAAATTATGACTTAAGGACGTTATATATATGTATATATGTATATATATATATATATATATCTATATATTTTTTTTTTTTTTTAATTTTTTCCTATAGTTAGGTTTGGCGGATGCAAAATCCGTGGCCTGTGGGGCCACTTTTTTTGACTCCCACCCGTCCCGACGGAAAGTCTTAAACAAAGGCGCGCCGTCTCAGAAAGGTAAAAAAACTTTTATTTGTTTATAACCATATGCAACGGTATGAATTCCATCATTCAGAATACATCTTGTATCATCCAAAGTAGAATGTGCTATTTTATTTAGAGCTACGGTAAAAAGATGATTTTTACTTTGGATATTATACTGTAACTCTCTACTACATATGGTTTCGTCTAGTTCTTATATATATATGTAAGATAAAATATATGAATCGAAATTATAGTTTAAACTATAAACATTAATTCTTCCTCTTTATTCTAAAATCGTAACAACTTCTCTGCATTGCGTCATTTCTAGATCACTCTATGGCCCGCGCAGCTCTGATGACGTAATAATTGGGAACTGAAACTGCCGTTGTAAACCAAAACTTTCCTCTTTGCCGTGCTTCCATCCTTCATAACTACGCACTTCAGCTTTTGCTCTCTACTCTCCTAAGATGTAATTTCGCTGGCTTGCTTTCTATCTCAACAATATCAAAAATGTAAATCTTCTGTAGAAAGGCACGACTAGAGTGCCAAGGTGATCGTGGCCACAAATATCAGTTGCAAATAAAAATGGAATTAAAACTGCCTCGACTGCCAAGTTCTTTAAATATTACCAAGTTAGCATTACTAGCATACTACGCAATCAAAATCTTCTTCAATATAGGTCTAATCACGCATCTACAGTGTTCCGTCTTTTTGATTTGCTCTTATTATGACAATTAAATATATATATATATATATATATATATTATGATATTGCGGTTTACTCCTTTAGCTGTTTTCGTCTGTCTCACTTTTCTTGAACAGTAACAAATAAATTTCTGCCTCGGTCATAATAAATTCCAAAATGGGTTCTGAATTCATTTCTACTTTGAAACATCCGATTTCCTTTTTATTATTGATATTGTGTAAAGGATGACATTTCGGATAATCTGATGTGTCATACATATACATATGAAAACTCATATCTCGATATACATCTATTAAAATTTCGTAAGTGAGAGAATCTGCGTCGGTAAAAAGTAACTTTGCTCTGTCTCCATATTATGTTTTGATATGACTGTAATGAAAGTTGTACGTAAGATGTTTACTACGTTCTACTATAACAAATCCTACATAAACGGGTTTGTTTGGAATAACGCTATTTTTGAGTCAATTCACTCAAAACAATGTCTTTATCAAAAATTCAGAAATTGTGAATGGTTGGGACTGCTACTTATTTCTTTGCATATTTTTCTGTATTTATTAATTGAATATCAACGTGTTTCCTCACGTTTTCTCTAGTTTTACGGTATACCCTATTGTTCATTAATTTATAAAAATTTTTTACATAGCCAGATTGCACAATTTTTCCTTGATTCATATTACATTGTATATAAGGTTGTAAACAAGCCTTTTGATTGAATTTTTATATTTTATGTACGTGAATTAATTTTAATCCTAATGAGCGATATAACTGTAAATTCTTATGGTAGATGACAAAATTGAATTTGGGGTTCAAATTAAGAAATAATTTGATATTGGATACAAATTTACTATTTCTCAATGGACTGACTGCATAAGGCGTAAGATCATTAGCTTGTATTTTTATTTTTTCTGGAGTCCCTGAGTAACCATTATTCACGTCAGAAAGTTTACCGGGATATTCCAGATATACTTCCAAAGTGCCTAAATAATTTGCATCAAGGTAAAAGATATATTTGCTTTCTTTAGCAGAATCAAAATGCTTAAGGTACTATTTATTATTTTCCATAGTCTTCCACGGGTAATCATGGGTACTCCGCCGCGAATTCCATCTTCTATAAATAAGTGCATGTTGATGTCTGTTAATAATTTTAGTGCTTGATTGGTCATTTTCAAGCAGGCTTGTCAAACTTTCAAGCTGCTGCATTCAATAAATGCGCACAGTTTAAACTATAATAAATTCTTTAAATTGTTCTAACATTTTCAAAACCGTCTGCTAATTGCAATACATCGCTTTTCATATATAAATTGTGACAGTCTCATAAATTTTGTACACGGAAAGCTCGCCAAACTGTTTGCGCATGCGTTTAATATCCGAGATATACTTTCACCAGTTAATGTGTTCTGAAAGTCTTCTATGGGTGCTTATTGAGTGTCCTTAAATTTTTCAAAAATGTTAGCATATTCAGGAGGATATACACCTTTCCGTAATAATAATTTTCTTTTAATGAACATGAATATTTTTTTTGAAAGTTGTAAATTTTTCTTCCGGTAGGTTAGATACAAGTTTCTCTAAAGATGCGTTCATAAATTGCTTAGTATCAATAAAAAATTAAAATACACTTATATTGTTCCATCTTCTTCTAAATGTTAAAAGAAACATATTTTTCCATATTACCAGCTATGACGGAAAACCCTCGATTTTGAACTTTAGGCAATTCTTGAATAATTAAATGTGCATCATAATGTTTTAAGTTATGGAATACGACCGAAGTTTCTTTTGAAGCCTATGTTTAAAAATTGCACATATTGTGCAGAGCTCCTCGATACTTTCCCCGTAAGGTGATCGTGATCGTTCACCATCACTGTCCAAAATTTTTTACACAAGAAGCATGAACAGCACTTTTAAAATTTTGCTCCTCCTGAGGTGTCATACAAAGAGTTACGTTGAAACATAATTTTTCGGCTATTTCCCGTTTCTTCTCTGCTTCTTAAAGTTCATAATGGATAGTCAGGGCCGTACTACGCTACTAGATTCTAAGGATATCAACTACTACATCTGCACTTTACCAGAAAATAAACGTATCAAGCCATTAAATATTTACATGGAAGGGAAATTTATTGTCGTACTTCTCTTTGACATGACTTAAACTAAGTTTTATATTTTGTTCCTTTCTATTTAATAGAAAATATTATGATGCTGGTACATTGTAAATTCTACTTTTCGTTATTAAATCGTTATTAATATGCTATCGTTTTTTAATATGCAAGGGCTAGATCCCATTACTGATAACTTGTTTATGTTTCAGTTGTGATATTAACACTAACTTAACTATCACTTTTGAAATAAATCCTATATTAATATGGTATTTATAACAGACATGTTACTTAGACACAAAGTCCTTCACATATTTCGTAGTATACCATTTTTAATCTGTGATCTTATTAATCTTAATTCTTAATCGTATGACCAGTGGCCGGACTTTTTTATTTGCCGCGCACGTCTACTCAAATTGACAAAGTGTATTACTTGACACAGTTTTTGTATAATTAATGCTTAATTTTCATGCAATGTAATGAATAATGTTCCGAAATATCTATAGCTGAGGTACTACATTCGATAGTAATTAATTCCTGTAAATATTTATAATTTGCATGCAAAATTTCTCTTATTTTCCATGGTGTGAATAAGGTGTTCTTTGTTGTAAGTATTTCATGGCATGTTTTTGTTAGTAACAGTTAATTGAATTTCTCTTAGTATATCATCAGCTCGACAAAAAACCTTGCAGTATACTGTATGGCAATACCTTGAAGAATGTAATTATCCTGATTAAACTTCATATTTAAATTTTCCGAAATACTTTCTAAAATTTTGCTTGGAGCCTAACTTGATCTTGATATTTTCGAATAATTTATTACTAGATTGGGTAAAGTCCATGAGCCACTTAGGAAGTAGAGGAAGAACTGAAATATAGCACCACACAGATCAAAAACGTATTTCGCAAATTTATTGCTCCTAAATAAAAGGAACGTGTCTATTCCCAATGGAATCTTTTTGTTTTCTTGGAACTAGAGTTTTGTTCAAAATCTATGCCCCAACGTGGTTGTTTTGCCTAACTTAAAATTTTATTGTAGTGTGTCTCTCTTCCAATTTAATTAATCTTTTCTAAAGGAGGCCCACCAGCGGCCAAGCGGTAACATCGCTGAACACTGGTAGTTCGTTCCGAGGTTCGAGTCCCGAAGGGCTGGCTGCATGGGAGTTTTCGTGGTTTTCCCCATGTGTAACGTGTATACGAGCCAGTTTCCCTTAAAAAGTTCTCCACGAAGGCATCCCTCCCTTAAGGCAGATAACCCTCGAGTGCTTTGCCGTAATCTAATAAACCAAAAAAAAATTTTCAAAAGGCTCTAAAAACAAGACTTGCAAATCGTTTATTGCAGAAATTATAATTAGGGAAACAGTGGAAATGTGTCTAAATAACGGTACTGATTTTAAATTTATCCTGTCTTCATATGTGGAATTGTTTGCTGCACCTGGGTGTCTGATCACTAGGCTCTACCCCATGTGGAATAAATTAGAAATTTCGAAAGATGAAATGGTATTAACCTGAAACACCGAAAGATGAGCACGGGAAAATTATTTTGCGGAAGTGAAAATTGACATTCTGTTTTATATAAATATTCTCTACTATGACAAAATAAATAATCCGCATATATATATTTGAAATAATAAAATAGTCAAGAATACACTTAAAATTCTAACTTTATGTTCTTTTCCTTTTTTAATGGCGACGGTCTCTTATTTGAAAGTACGTGGAATTAAATGCGCAGCCCCGTAGACAAGTTGTTTTTCCCGATTTTATTCGGCTGTTCGGCAGTGTTCTTAAAGAAATAAGTATATATTATAAGTTTATATATATTATATATGTTATATATAGATAGATTGTTTCATGTTTCGCTATGTAGAAAAATAGCAGCGCTTGGATGCATCAAAATTTGAAGACACGCATTCCTCCGTCCCAAGATGCACCTCTTTGAACCGCGAATTTTAACTTTCGAATTTGCTTTGTTAATTGTTTCTCATTTTGTGCTAATTTATCGAGATTTTGCTTGATAGCTTAGTAATTTAAAAGCTCTTTTTTACCAATCGGAAAAACGTAGGATATTTATGTTTTAAATTTTATCAGAAAACACAGCGATATAAAACATAACGCCACTTGGCAGAACGGAGTGTATTTATTTTTCTTTTGAATTTCACCAACAAACACTGGGATTGAAGGTAAGTGTGTTGCCCCTGCGCCATTAAAATGTTTTTATCTTTCACGCGGCAGTACATTGTCGTTTAGCAAAGATGTAAAAGAAAAGTTAAGATATTTATCCTGTCTCCATATGTGGACTTGTTTGCTACACCTGGGTGTCTGATCACTAGGCTCTACCCCATGTGGAATAAATTAGAAATTTCGAAAGATGAAATGCTATTAACCTAAAACACCGAAAGATGCGCACTGGAAAATTATTTTGCGGAATTGAAAAATCGACATTCTGTTTTATATAAATATTCTCTACTATGACAAAATAAATAATCCGCATATATATATTTGTAATAATAAAATTCCATAGTCAAGAACACTTTACACGTTATCTGTGCCTTACTGATTGACAAAATAAGAGATTTAAAAGCAATAAATGCAGTTCTTTATTGATTTTATTACTGAATACTAGCTGGACCCAAAAAGATAACAATTGCTGGATTTTGTGGCTGAATATTTGTTTTACTTTGATAATAACTATGTTAGGCTACTGGTCGCGTTTGTGGCTAGTAAGTAATAAAATTAAATGAAATTTTTCATGCGAATTTTTTAAGATGCTTTATTATTGCATATTTTGGAAACACTTGTCAAATAGAAAAACAATTTTTAAATTTTGGTTAACATGACATTGAATAACAGTTTACAAATCTTTTAGAAGTTATCGTTTATCTCTGTAGAAGCATTTTTATTCTTGAAGAAGAAGCATATTCGGTCGTTTCCCATACCTGCAAATCCTAAATTAAAAAGAAAAATAATAAGATGATTAATATAAATAAATTTAAAGAAAAATTAGAATAATGAAAGAAGATAATTTAATATCTGTTGCGTATTTTAGGAAAGAAAAGAGTAAGTTTAGGAAGACAGACATATTGAATCTCTTATCCTTGCACCTTTTGGCCATTTCAGTTTAGGTTTACTGGGAATGATAATTGATGCTTGAAGTGAAGCAGAGCGCCGTTTAAACGTCTATAGAAATCTATCGCTATGTTTAACCATCACATAAAAAAGCAAAGTTTTTAAAAATCTTTATCGAAAACCGCTTAAAATAACCGTAATTCTCTATAAATTTTATTTCATTTACTAAAACGTTTCAGATAAAATTTATATTTCTGGTTTTATTTTAAAATCTCATACTGTAAAAAATTACACTTAAGAAATTCAGGTATATTAAAAATAATGCCTAAAATCTTTTAATGTGAAGTATCTTTACTATTTCAATTATTCCTGAAATTTCTTTTCTTTCCAGATGCAAACTGAAAACATTTCTCCTAATCAATAATAGAAGCGTAAAAATATTAACCATTTGGTGGAGGAAAAGATTCGTTTGCTTTATTTAACTAAGACAAAGCACTCGAAGGCTATCTGTATAAGAGGTAGGATGCCCCATGGACAACACTGATATTAAACATAATTCAAAAATAATATAGGATTGACAAATGTAGAAACGTCAGAGTAAAAATCTGGGCATTACTGTATAAAATCAAAAGCAATTGTGTTTTACAAAATGAAAATAGACGAAGAAATTTCCCGAAAGTCATTTTACTCAATGCTGTGAGTCTATGCTAATGTAGAAAACTAATCTCAATGTAACTGAATGAAAAGAACACTTGTTTTTTATTGGGTGACTGCACAATTTTAAATTGCGCCACCGTACATCGTCGTTTTATAAGGGAAGAATGGAAAGATGTCTCAATTGAATCTATCATAGATTACTTTATACAAAGAAATGAATGGGCATCAGCTGAAATATCTAATGTTGATGAAACCGGGTCTTACACCACGTCACGTACATTGCGCCTTGAAAGAAGATCAGTGTATGAAAATCAAGAATGGTAAAGATCTTTGTATGCAAATGTTGATGAGAAGAAATGATAAAATTGTAGTTACACGAAAATTCAAAAGCCATTTAAAATTGCTAAAATCTTGTCAGTATGGCATGCAGCAACTAAAAGAACTTTCGTGATTCTGAAAAGATGAAAAAAGAAGAGAAACAATGAAATGACAAAACTTAATGTTACATCCGCAAACTATTGACTTATAAAAAGTGTAAAGGCAGATTTTCCACCATTCGGTTAATAGTATTTTATTTCAAGATCACGATCAAACAGCGAGTCACAAAAGATGAAAGAATTTGTCTTTAAAGAAAAAACTGCAACCTATATCTGTGTTAAAATTTTCCTGGGAAATATCTGGGAAAATATGTTATTTTTTCGAGATGGAAAAACGAAACAAAAAAATAACCGTTGTCATATCTTTAAAGACCTTTTAAAATTGTGTATTGTTTCAAAGATTTGGTGTTAGAAAAAAAAAATATTAACTTTTTAAATGTAGTTGATATTTTAAATAGACGAAAGCATTATTATGTTAGATTTATGTAATCGAGCGAATAGGGCAGGAGCATCAAAATTCCATTTATAAAATATCCATATATCATATCTCTTAAATTCAAATCTCGCCCTTTTTATTAACATGTCATTTTTGTAATAGTCGCCTCAAAGACGTTTAAACGCCGCTCTATTGAAGTTTAAGAGCACATCATCAAACACACATCAAATGCAGTCTTTCTTAGAGTGATCACCATATCCAGCTGAGAGAAGCGGAAGACCACAGATCACTCCTTACTCCAAAAATCCTCTTAGATGTTAGATATTATCCTATATTCTCCCCTATATTTGAATCTCTTTGCGCTCACCTAAGCGAAATATACCTATATTGCAGATAGTTTTATTTGAAGGTATTATCCAGACTGCGATGATTTAAAACAACAGCAGCTCTTTCGTTTAAGATTACAGTGAAAACATTTCGGAATTTTCGAGTGGCAACATCCACTTTCTTCCTGCTCAAATTGATCAGCTCCTTGAAAAGCCATAAATGACAAAAACTAACAATATAAAACATTCGCAAAGAAGTGCATTAGAAAGATCTAATGACAACACAAGCAGAGGAAAGTGAGAAAAGCTTTTATTAAAATTACAAATTCTCAATGTGCGCGTCGTTTCAAGAAAGATGTTATCTCCCTTAACATTGCAATTTCGTTGCCAGCACGATCCTCGTAATTAAGTCCGACGGATTTCTTGGTCTGGGATTATCTAAAATCTAACGTGCACACGTCAAACTCACGAGATTTGTTAGAATAGAAAGATGTCATAAAGTTATACAGATTCCAGATTTCTCTCGCGATATTACGTTTGTTATTGTTGTCAACAATATCCCGATGCAATGCGCTTTCGTCTGCGAGGGTGGGCGCGATAAGTTCGACCCTCACCTCTTGAGAGAATTGTCGTTTACAATGCTCTTCTTTACAAATGTTTTGTGAGGACAGAAATTTTCGTAATACGGGAATCGTTCGAATGCCATTTATAGCTTTTCATTCTGGTGATCTGTTTGCGAAGGGAAAAAAAAGCGTGCTGAATTTCGAAAACTTCGAAATTTTTTCATTGCTACCGCAAGCGTTAGAGGTATATTGTTCTAAATCATCACAATTTGCAGAACATATCTTAAATTTCATTTCGATTGGTTGTGCGGTTAGACCACTAGATGTTCATATAACAAGAAAGTTCTTTATGACCACCCAGTATATTAATGGTACTAATTTTGGTAAAAAATTGACCCTTAATTAGATGTTTAACCTTAATTAGATGATTAAAACTTGCGTACGTACTAAATAATGTACTTAAGTTCTACGAAGTTGAAAATAAAATCGAGAAAGTTGTAAATTGATAATCAGTTAATTTCATATAGAAGCGCACACGCTATATCTTGAAAGGAAAAATTCATCATATTTTCAATGACAATGATAAAGATACCGAGATATGCTAGATATTTCTCTAGATAAATGAAAACAGTCATGAACTAAAGCAGGATAGCGTGCGTCGTTAGGAACTCACACCAATCAAATTAAAGCTTAATCCTTTGCCTTTAAACATGTAAAAGCTTTCTAAGAAATAGAAGATATTCTTACTAGAATAGAAATAAGAGACCTGATGCACATAAAATTTTGGATTTAAATTTCAGAAAGCATTCACTTATTAGCTGTATGATTTTCCTTTAAGCTGTATTTTACATAAAGACAGTTTTAACAAGCAAATCCTAGCGGAGTGTTCTTTATTTTATCTGACTAGTAGAAAATGTTCAGATGAGTTTGGTACCATAATTAAACACGTTTCTAGTGTTCTTCCTTGGTAATTCGAAAGCTAAACGTAATAAAATCCAAAATAGGCAAATTAGGACAGATGGAATTATTTTTGAAGTTTAAAATTTGCATTTCTTTGATGTTTGATTGCATAAATGCTGTTCATTTTTTACATGGATTTTAAGCTATATTTATTTATAAAAGTCATATCAATAAAAGTGTACCAAGTTATTTTGACTTTAAAGACGGTTGGACATTTAGGGATTTAACCTAAAGCGCATTTTGTTTAAACAGAACTAATGTGAGGAAATGAATGAAGCATCAAGTTAAAACCTTAAACAAGCCTTAAGTATCCGTTGCCATGTGAAGAAGGGAGGATCTGTTTTTATTTTCCATGAATTATACTAATTTTAGTCATTTTATTCAATTTAATTAAAATGTTTGTCAGCAGTATCTACAGTCTGTGAAAGATACTGTAGCGAGCGTACGGGTTCATAATAGATTGAACGCACACAATTCAGATAACAGCTTAATAAAATTTATATTTATCAATTGACACACTTCAAAGTTCTGGAATTTTCCACAGAAATACTCGCACAGGTATTACAAAGTACAATAATTAGTTACACTTCAAACTACTAAGAACGTTAAACACAACGCACTGTAAAGCGCACCGAAAGAGAAACTAACCCGGTATATAGCTCAGTTCACTCTGAATTAACAACTCGCAACAACAATAAATGAGAGCAGATGCTCTGTCCGGACTTACATAGTTCTCAACCGGCCGTCGAGATATTTTTAATACTTTCTGCTTCTCGAAATTACTGGAAAGCAGCGTATAATTACGGTTGCAGCTAATATAGTACTCAATTACATTTATTTAATTACAATACCTGCTACGGTAATACGAGGATCGGAATAAAATGTCGCCAAATGGTCGCCATGTTTGGCGAATGTTGTCGATTTCTCGCGAAACGCGGTGACAAATAAGTCGGCAAAAGCGTTGTCAGCTTGGCGATGTCTGCCAAATTACCGAGATACCCATTTACTCAAATTTAAATAGACTTGCCCCTGTATTCCTTCTTTTCCGACATGGCTTTCCTCTTCAGATTCTTCATGTCATATTACACAGAAAAATACAACAATTTCACATATAATTGCACTAAAATCATCTATCTATGTACGAAATTCGTCATAATACGATTTAATACAAAAAAGAAGAAAAAAAAAAAAAAAAAAAAGAGAGAGAGAGAGAGGGAAAACTTTTGAACATAGCACATGAGTGATTGTTTGGATAATTTTTTGGCGCTGGGAGAATGCTGGACAGCACAGGAAAAAGTGCAGGGGGCACCACAACATCGTCATAGACAAAAATGGTATTGCCCCACTGCACTAAACTTTTATGGCATTTATTGAGTATGAAGACAATATATTACATATCAGGTCATTAAATTACACTGTTGACATAATAAATTATATTAAAGTAACAAGTTATTTAGATAAGGAAAATAAACAACAGGAATCAAGATGCAGATAACATGTTACAATTAATTAGTTGTTGCAGTTTGACATTTGTTGGTGTGCTTGGAGAAATACATTAACATTGTTGAAGATGAGTGTGATGTGAGTTATAATGCTATGTTATTTTTGTATTGGTTGTATCGTTGTGTGATTGTACACAGATTTCACAGAGTTCACTTTGCACAGAGTTCTTTGTGCATAGAGTTCGATGTGCACAGAATTGTGCGCAGCAGTATGGAGAGTACTTTGTCGTATGGCTGGTGTACTGCAGGAAGATAGAGCTGTTTCCTGCTGTTGACCTTAGCACGGAAATATTGTCAGTGAAATAATGTCGTTAAAACATGGTAATTAATTAGCGAACGAGATAAAATTAACATGTAAGAAGTTGGCTGAACTCGAGATAAAAATTCAACCAGAGAAAAAAGGGATTTTCTTGATTAGTACTGATGGTTTGAAATGAGAAATATCTCACGTGTTTGTTAAATGGCAATCAATTTGGATTTGCAATAAAATTTATTTTGTTCATCCGTGTATCTCAAACCTGTTTCCTTTAGCTTAATTTTGGGCAGCTTTATAGAAATAGCTTTAAACACTGCGGTTGTAATCAGTAAGTCAAGGAAGTGTTTCAAAAGCAAGTGCGGGGAGTTGTGCTGCAAAAACTTCTTGGATTTCGATGATAAAGTACAGAAATAAATAAAGATTATAATAAAGAAAAAAAGGGAAATATGCTAAAACTCACAAATGCAGAGGGACCTTTCTGAAGAAGAAAGGCTAGGAATAACGTTATACCGAAGACATTCACAAACATCCGTCACAATCATCCTTTTCAACAATCGGAAAGAGAATCAGAGAGGAACTACTAGTATCGTTCGATTTTAGCCAATTAGTTAGTTTCGACAAAGGTTTCATAAAGACTGCAGTATGGAAAAATCATATCTGAGCACCAAATATACGAAATGTTATAACAAACTATAACCACGATAGTGCAACCTAGTGACAGGCATTGTTTTGTTTAAACTTTCGGAGTGGTAACACGTTAATTCATATCCTTAATCAATCTTTCAAAACAGAGAGTTGCTAATAATTGGTATTTTATAGAAAGAAAAAAGTAATGGCAAAAGGACACAAAATATTAAATCTCGAGAGTTTCTGGTCTCTTGTTTCTAATATCTTCGTGAATTTCTCAAGACAAAATGCGAACTAAGACAAAACTTTTTATTTAAATATATTTGTTCCCTGCTCACCGTTAAACTACCTCTACTATGCCCTGTGTATGAATCAGGAAAACTGATAAACCAAGAACAAATCATATGCAGGAAATGTATTTTATTAGAAGATTAACGAAAAAAGAACTCATCTCTTTCTTTTTTTGCTTCTTAATAGCTTAATAATAATTTTTAAACAGAACATTTCCTTATAGTGAAATTTACTGCAGTTAAACGCATAATATTTACTACTCTGGACTATAATGGTTAACACAGGCTGACCTAGTTAACTTTGACTTCCGCTTAAAGATTTGCTGCATTTTTTTCCTATGCTATCTCTCTATGACAGTTGTATTCTAAGTTCAATATCGGTAATGAGACGGTTTATGTGGGGAATGATACGGCGAAGTGATCAATTTGTTAAGTTGTTTACAACGTATCGGAATGCTTCAGAAAATGTTCCCGGCTACTACTGGACGAAGACATGTAAATATACACTCACGTTCATAATATTCAACAAAAATGTAGAGACATAGGCTTTTTTTGGAAGCATGAAAAATGAACAATACCTTCACGGGGAATCGAACCAAGGACTTCTGGAATACGCGCGCAGCGTGCAGGCCACCAGACCACAAAGCCATGCCAAGAAGGCGGGAGAAATACCTTATGTACTCAACCTTTTAAAGTTCGACTGGGGTTTTTAAGGGACCCAATCGCCAAATCCTGGGTGTGGAGAATCATCATCCAACACCCTTTTAATTCGGGCGCCACTGTAGAGACATTAGGTATTCTTTCGCAGCAGGCAGATGACAAATATGCAACGCCTACGCCAGAAATCGAACAACAGATCTCTAGAATATGCGTCCAGCTTGAAGACCACCACACCACGAAGGCGGGAGAAACACCTTATAAAAATAAAGGATATTTAAAATATAAAAACATTTAATTTCCGAATCTCTTCCAATATCTCTTAAAGTTAAAATTTCAAAGAAGAGGCGCAATTTTTTTTCTCTTCAATCTACTGTGCCGTGGAGTTTGTCTTAAGCTTGCCTGTTATGGGAGCCACAAAGAGAAACGTATAAAAGCTGAAAATTGCAAAGGCAAGCAGCTTTGGTTAAGCAAGCTGAAATTTGCATAAGAAAACTTTGCGTAGGCAAGCTGTTTCTTGTAAGCTGAAAATCTTACAAAAAACATTGAACCTCTACTTGCAAATATAAATAATGGAAAATCATATAAATGCGCAAAGTAACAAAATCCTTCTAATTGAAAATGTAAATATTGGAAATGTTTGTACGTAGCTTGTGTGTTTATGAAACCTGCAAAAGTAATCAGAAGCCACTATGTATTTCCAGCGATAGTTCTCTTCTGGGGCAAGTAAATTATACGTAAGTAGTTTCAAAGAGGGCAAATGTTTTAGCTCTTCTGTCAAATTCCTTTATGACTAAATTGTCTTAGAGTGTTGTCTGGTACTTTATGCAGAGATAAGTCTGACTTGTTTGGGTCCTGGAAAAAGTATTATCAATAAACACCAGTCATTGAAAAAAACAAGAACATAAATGTCCGAACAATTGCAGAAATATGCGGAATGATAAAAAAAGAAAGGATATTGTGGAATGTTTTTATACAAAGGAGACAAAAGATGCATAAGTAACGTATGAGCTGAATAACATGGTTTCAAAACTTAAAAATAATAAAAACAACGTAAGAGCGGAGAACAACTGCAATTGTCAAACTGTTGTTGCCAGATTTAAACTGCCATTTCTGTTTCTTCATACAATTTTCGACTTCGACTACAATTTCAACTTTGGGGTTGAATGCGACTGTAAACGCTTTTTTTAATATTGGTTTACCCTGATAAGTACTATTCGTTCTCTTCCTTTGTTCAAACTGTTTCCGAACACATTGTATTTTTCATTCTTGAAAGAAATCTTGTATTCTCGAAAGCAAATGTAACTGTTGATAGAGGTTTTCATTTTTGAGCAGCTGTTTTCATATTTTTATTCAAATCCTCTATTTCGTATTTCTCTGCTTATTTATAATGGCGAATTTAGTTTACTTTTAAAAGTTTTCACAAGTTCTTATTGACAGTTTTGTTTCGCGAGATGAAGAATAGGTATTGTTATAGTTTAATGGATTAAGAGTTCGCATGAAGACGTATAGAAATTACATACTTACCAAACGGTCAGGAGCATTCATTTTCTGCCGATAGGCCTGAGTTGTGGATCAGGGTCAGGAGCAGCCTGGATGACAGCCAAAGTTGCCATCGCCAGAGCAGCAAGGAAAAGCAGACTGTGTTTCAAAAATTCCATTTCTTAGAGACACGAATAGAATCGGTATGAATATCTCAGCTTGAAGCAGTTCTTTTATAATACAACCTAGTCCTAAAAATATGCAGTATCATAGAAAGAAATTAAGGACACAGGAAGAATATACATTCAAAGATCGAAATGATTTGCAAAATACTAAACCTTTTAAAAAATCCATATCTTTTTAAAATAAATTTTCTCAATTGAAGGAATTTTTTAAAATCTCAGCGCCTTCAGCATAGAGTGCGTGTTTCGGTGACTCAGCATAGATTCATTGACTGATATCGGACACGTTCGTTAAAATTCAGAATCATCTCATATAAACGTGAAATTCAAATTTCTTTGCTTTGCGGTGTACAAATCTTTTTAAATTAAAAAAAATTAAAAACTACTTATGAGACGAATTATAAATTTCCTAGAATATGGATTCTAAATATATATCGAATATCTCCAAAATTTCTGATCTCTCAAATCCTTTATATAATAATTAAAAAAACGCATTTTAGCTCAATATTAAGAAGCTTTAATAAAAACAACATTTGAAATCCATATTTGACGAAAAACAAACTGAAGAACGCTTTACAAGTGCACTTGTAGTTATTAAAATGATATAAATTAGATTTAATATATAGCTGTATAACTAAAGCACTTGAATCTTGATATTCTTCAATCAGTGTAATTTGACAAAGCTGTTTCAATAATAGTCGAAAATATTTCCATTTTTAAGGAATTTTTTTAAATCAAAGCAAATGCGAAAGGGAATAGTGACTTAAAGAATTACATAGATTGGCGCCCTTAGACATTTTTCATACAGTATTCCATTTCATCATTGAAATTTTTTGCTAACGTAGGTACAGCATGTAGAAGGAAGATATAAAAATAAATATTTTCCGATCAAGATTTTATTTCTTTGGTAAACAAAATGCATATAAAATGAAGTAACTTTGGGATTTGATTGAAGTATACAAAACTTAATGAAAGAAAATCATGTTTTAATAATACAGATTTTTTTTGACTGCATAGTAAACTTAAATGCAGTATTTGTCACTGTTTAAGTATGTTTAACGTTTTTCAACACTGAATGGCGTTTAGATTTAATAACTGATGAAACTGGAAAAGTCGTTTCATATAACCATGAGGTCCTGAATGGCAGAGGAACATTTAATGCGATATCAGAAATTCAAATGAATTCTACTAGTTTAAGTCCAGAATTCAGGCAAGAATTTTTGCAAAAACATAACTTTTGAGTCATTAGATTGCTCCATAAATTACTTTTCCCCTTGAATAATTTTATTACTGTCAGTTAATATAATTTCTTTAAATTCTTTATCTTAATTACATTTTCCAAACTCCAACATTTGAGACAAAATATTCTCTTTGTCAACCCCTTTGGGATGCAAAGTTTAAGACACGCTGGCATGGATAAACGTTAAACATGGAACTGTAACAAGCTGAATATTTAATTTTTCGAATCTCGAATCCTTTATTCAAATGGTCTTTCCTTCTTTGAACATCTACATAAGAAAGTTTCATCAGATTTTAAAAGAGAGCTTTTTTGGGGGAATGTTAAAAATCTGAAATCTTATTTCAAATTCTTATTTAACAAATTATTAAACAAAATCCAAAAATTCAGCTTTCAGATTTTGTTTAATAATTGGTAATTTAATTTATAATTTTTTTAATTGTCACATTCTGTTTTACTCACCGTTATTCATAATATTATAAGCACAATAAATAAGTTAAGGAAAATCAATAGGAAGGAAGTACGAAGTCAAAAATTAACATGTTTCATAATTAAGATCAATAAAAAAAATATAAATATATAAATATATTATAAAGATATAAAAAATAAAATATTATAAAGATATAAAAAAATATAAATATATTATAAAGATAAAAAAAATTATTGTTTTACCAAGGATAAGAAACGTCAGATATTCTAAAATATATCTGTAAATTTAATTTTGGAAATGCCATGCTATTTGAATGACACTATCGGAAAATTCACACAGTTCTCTGGAATTGCATATTTTGAAATTAAATTCCCGGTTTAATTTTTTCATAAGCGAGTCAAACTTCTCATAATTTTATTCTTTCATAACGATTTCATATTAATATATAAATCTTTTCGAAATGTGATCATAAGAACCGAGAGACCGCATTAAAAGTTAGATTTCGTTATTTATCAAAATTATTATTATTTTTTTTAAATTTTCAAATGCCAAAACTTTAATATATTCATTATTTAAAAGCATTGTGTATATGTACTGTTATATGACAACGACCAATGATTTCAAAAAGTAAGGATCAAAGATCCTAAAGTAAGGATCAAAGATCAATGATTGCGAAAATATAACACACACATATATATATATACTGGGTCATATAAAAAGTCTCCGTTTTTTTTACTTTTTATTGTTTATTTATTTATTTATTTTTGCCACTAGATGGTTATTTGATATCTATATTTCCGGCAACACTCAGCGGATTTTCTCAAACGAATATGTTGCTTAAATGAGAAATTTAACTTTCATTGTTTGTAAAGATAGTTTTCTAATTTATTGCTCATGTAAAAAGTTATATTCATTTGAAAATGAGTGAAATATCTGAGGAAATACGCTATGTGATAATGTTTTACTATAACAAAAGGTTAAAGCGCTGGGAAAACATGCCGAAAAATTTGTGAAGTATACGGTGAGAATTCTGTGAGTGAAAGAAGGATATAGAATAGGTTTGCTCGATTCCGTTGACGAAATTTCTATATCAAAGAATTCGGAATTTGCACCGTCTAACTACCATTTGTTTCGGTCTCTGCAAAATTCCCTTGATAGTAAAATATTGGTCGACCGAAGCGCAAATGAAAATCGCTTAGCAACGTTTTCGACGATAAACCTCAGAAGTTCTACATCGACGGAATTATAAAGCAACTCGAAAAATGGCAAAAGGTCATAGATAATAATGGTCAATATGTAGGGGGTTAAAACTGATTTTCAATTTTTGCTCAAATATGTACCAAAAACCCTCGGAGACTTTTATATAGCCAATATATATATATATATATATATATGTGTGTGTGTGTGTGTGTGTGTAAGAAAAATAAAGAATATGTAAAAGATTAAATTAGCAAGCGTAAAATTTAATTTTCCTTCTCAATTCTAAAAATAGTAATATCTGCACTGCGTCAATTCTAGATTAATACATGTCATATGACTCTTATATAATTTTGATGATGCAAACGGAACGAAAACTCAAACAGTCAATTGTAATTATACAGCAGTATTAATTATACAATCAAAATGCTTTGAGAACCAAAGCTAACTCAGTCTGAATTAAGATTTCACCCTGAAGATAACTCACTTGATTTCTACGCTTTGGCCTTGCTGGACTGCAGTCTGTTTGCTTTTTTTTACCGTACTGCAAATTTATCTAAAATATAAACTTGTACTCTTTTTGAGATAAAACGTTTTTAATTAACTATTTTATGACATAAATCATATTAAAAATATTATTTACTTATTATGGTAAGAAAATTATTTCTTCCCCTTTCTATCCAATTTTCATAACTTCATAAAAGTATTATTGTACATACTAATCTCCATATTCAAAATACAAAAATCATGTCGTAACGACCATCTTCTTAAAACAACCACCACTTCTGAAAACTGACTAATATATCTGTCAACTTGAACAAACACTTGTACTGAATTTCACCTCTTTATGACGAATCCCACCGCTGCCCGCGACCGGTTACCTTACAGAAGCTTATAATTCTTTTTTATACGTTCATCTACGGTAAAACCGCGGCAGATCATGGGAATTTTAATTGTAAAATGTTTTAATTGTTTTTAACTGTATTTGGTGCTTTTGATTTTTCTGTGTTTTACAATTTTTAATAATTATTTATTAAATTTGAATTTTAATGTTTTTTTTCCGTGCCGCGAAGTGGGAATTGAATTGATTCAGTGAGAAATGTATCTCTAATGAAATTCTAGGAAATAAAGTTAAATGAATTGCAGTAAAAAAATGTATCTAATTTAAGAGTCCATGCAAGAAGTCCACACCAGATATTTTTCTAAAACAGAACAAGCATGCTACTTTCCCGAACTTTCTACGGCCAACTAGTCTTATATCCACCATGCGGAAAGCCAATGAAAAATTAATATTTAATCGATTTGAAATTTCAAGAAAGTAATATCTTATGCTCTACGGAGCAGGTAGCTCTACCACTCATGTTCTATGAGTTAATCATGTCATTATTACCAGTGACAGAAACGGAAATTTTCACACTTCCATCCCGTCATTCGACTTGAAGACTGAAGGCGAAAAACTTCGTTACACAAATATCGAGCAAGCGTTGTTGCATTAAGTAAAATGTCAGGCACATATTTTTAGAACCATCTGCAGCTACTTTTCGAAACGCAATTTGCTAGTTGCAACCCACGAAGGAGCCAGAGATCAAGTGTTGTCCGCAGGGCTCCTTCGCAAGCTCAGATCTTACATGCAATCAGGTGATCAAACTATAATGCCTCCAGATACAAAACTCACTGCATATGCCGATGATGCTGCATTTATTATCAAAGGTAAAAGAGGTCAGAAATTTGAAAAGACCAGTTAATCACTCTGCAAATCTGTAAATCTTGTTATCTCTGAAATCAAATCCGCAGCCACTTTTTAATCCAAGAAGGGACATTAACCCCACAAGACAATCATGTATCGTCCTGTTTGAGAGAAACTTTATGTTTGCCTATGAAATAAAATACTTAGATATCAGATTGGGCAGAGGTCTCGCATAGCTGCCACACATAGCATACTTGAAGTTAAAGACAAACTACACTGCGAACGAGAAGAAGTGGTTTCAAGATGCAAACTGGGGCAGAAATTCATACGAATTCATACAAATTGTAGCGAATGTTCTCTGGGCTTCTGATAACTACAAGAATAAAGTCCAAAGAAGGGTTTAATTATACTTTTATTTTAACTCAAGGAATATTTTACAGTTGGCCTCCACTTAGGCTTTAACTTAAGTAGAAAATAAGC